TATTATTTTAATGGTCTTTTGGCCAGACATGGACACCACAGGCCCATCCTTTTTTTGTGTGGTGGTGGCAGTGGTCTTCCATGCTGCTTCAGCTTAAAAGTAGAGGAGCACAGACAATTGAGGTCTTACTTGAGGACAGATTGTTTTCACCCCAAAATGTCAATTTTAAGGACTTCTCTTGTTCTGCCTGACTTTTGTGGCCACCATTATATCATCTGTAATGCTATTGGTGTATTTATACCACTCATGTATTGTATGTTACAGGGCAAAAAAGAAAATTTCAGGTCACATACCGCTGAGCACAATAGTTAAGACCAATTAGGTCAATGTACGTATAGTGCCTTGAAAAAGTATTCATAACCCTTGAAATTTTCCACATTTTGTCATGTTACAACCAAAAACGTAAATGGATTTTATTGGGATTTTATGTGATAGATCAACAAAAAGTGGCACATAATTGTGAAGTGGAAGGAAAATGATAAATGTTTTTAAAATTTTTTTACAAATAAATATCTGAAAAGTGTGGCGTGAATTTGTATTCAGCCCCCCCGAGTCAATACTTTGTAGAACCCCCTTTCACTGCAATTACAGTTGCAAGCCTTTTTGAGTATGTGTAATATAAATAGATAGGTGCTACATAAATAAGTGAAATGTACAATGTGCAAATACTAGGAAGGCCAATATCACCACAAGCCCCTCAATTGGACCATGTAATCATAATGGCTCTCAGGGTAGTGCTATATACCCACAATCTTTATACGGTATATAAAAAATGTGCTTAGAAGGGTAGTATCACTACATGCCCCTCAATTGGACCATATAATTGTAATGGCCCTCAGGGTGATGCTATATACCCACAACCTTTATAAAAAACAAAAAACAAAAACATTGAATAAAAGTCCACAAATAATTTTAAACTTGAAAAAAGTCCTTTCGGTTTCTGTAGACTGTGACCCAAACCAAGAAAGAAAGACTATATCTTCACCACATGCCGGCAGAGAAAAGTAAAAATTACTCACTCACCAGACCTTTTGACCCCAATAAAGGTGGCCAGATGCTCTTTTTCATCATATAGGAGACCAACCTCTCAGGTAATAACTCCCATCCAGCAACTCTCCATCTTTGGTGATGTTTCAACCAGCTTTGCACATCTAGAGAGGGACATTATTGCCCATTCTTCTTTTGCAAAATAGCTCAAGCTCTATAAGATTGGATGGAGAGCATCTGTGAACAGCAATTTTCAAGTCTTTCCACAGATTCTCAATTGGATTTAGGTTTGGACTTTGACTGGGCCATTCTAACGCATGAATATGATTTGATCTAAACCATGCCATTGTAGCTCTGGCTGTATGTTTAGGGTCGTTGTCCTACTGGAAGGTAAACCTCCACCCCAGTCTCAAGTCTTTTGCAGACTCTAAACGATAAAGCCCTATTTCTGCCTAGTCCATTTTTATAATGGATCGTTGGGAAGAGGAGGAGAAGGAGATACAAGATTCTAAGTTTGCTACGGGAGAAGGAAAATCACCTGGGGAATCTTCATTCCCTTAGTCCCATTGAGAGGACACAAGGGCTGTGTAACCAAAGCATTATATAATGTGAGGTCAAAAAGCTCCAGGTGAGAGCACAACCTGGGTGTTGGTGGAGGAACACTGATTTATGTTTTATTAAGATGTGAAGTAGTGAAATAGTGAAATAGTGAAGGAGCATCAAGAGAGATCCTATTATATATGGGACTTTATTTGGATATATTTCTTGTATATTGGGCTCTTTTTTAAGTTTATGATCATTTTTTTTAAATATTTATTAACACTTATGTTTGTGATTAGGTTCTCAAAAGGTGTCTATAAATAGGAAGGTGCTGCACTAATATGTTTTAGATTTTGAGACACATTGATGACTGTGTGAAGGGTGTAAGCGACTTTGATTGAAGTGTTGGATTTTTCATTATATTATTTTTTGCTTGCTTGTGGGATTATTTTACTTATTTATTTATTTATTTCAGGTACTTATATATTTATTTATTTATTTCAGGTACTTATATAGCGCCGTAAATTTACGCAGCGCTTTACATATATATTGTACATTCACATCAGTCCCTAACCATCAAGGGGTGTACAATCTAACTTACATTCATACATACACATATTAGGGCCAATTTAGACAGGATCCAAATAACCTACCAGCATGTCTTTGGAGTGTGGGAGGAAACCAGAGTACCCGGAGGAAACCCACGCAGGCACAGGGAGAACATACAAACTCCAAGCAGGTGGTGCCGTGGCTGGGATTCGAACCAACAACCCTAGTGCTGCCAGGCAGAAGTGCTAACCATTTAGCCACTGTGCTGCCCCCCATATATAGTAAGTTTCTTCTAAGATTTCCCTGTATTTGGCTCCATCCATCTTCCCATCAACTCTGACCAGCTTCCCTGTCCCTGCTGAAGAAAAGCATCCCCACAACATGATGCTGCCACCACCATGTTTCACGGTGGGGATGGTGTTTTCAGGGTGATGTGAAGGGTTTGTTTTCTCCCACACATACCGTTTTGCTTTTAGGCCAAAAAGTTAAATTTTGGTCTCATCTAATCAGAGCACCTTCTTCCGCATGTTTACTGTGTCCCTCACATGGTTTCTTGCAAACTACAAACCAAACAGGACTTCTTATGTCTTTCTATCAACAATGGCTTTCTTCTTGCCACTCTTCCATAAAGGCCAGATTTGTGGCGTGTGCACGACTAATAGTTGTCCTGTGGACAGATTCGCCCACCTGAGCTGTGGATCTCTACAGCTCCTCCAGAGTTACCATGGGCCTCTTGGCTGCTTCTCTGATTAATGCTCTCCTTGCCCAGCCTGTCAGTTTAGGTGGACGGCCATGTCTTGGTAGGTTTTGCAGTTGTGCCATACTCTCTCCATTTTTGGATGATGGATTGAACAGTGCTCTGTGAGATGTTCAAAGCTTGGGATTTTTTTTTATTTGGCCTTCATGATGCTGTTTGTTCACTAATGTTCTCTAACAAACCTCTGAGGGCTTCACAGAACAGCTCTATTTATACTGAGCTTAAATTACACACAGGTAGGCTCTATTTACTAATTAGGTGACTTCTGAAGGCAATTGGTTTCGATAGATTTTAGTTAGGGTTATCAGAATAAAGGGGGCTGAATACAAATGTATGACACTTTTTTCAGATATTTTATTTGTAAAAAATTTTGAAAAACATTTATCATTTTCCTTCCACTTCACAATTATATGCCACTTTGTGTCAATCGATCACATAAAATCCCAATAAAATACATTTACGTTTTTGGTTGTAACATGACAAAATGTGGAATTTGTAAGGGGTATGAATACTTTTTCAAGGTACCGTATACAGTCCACAAAGCTAGTTACAAAACAGCTGGGCTGTAATATAGAATAACTCTTTAGTGAACACTGTATAGGCATAAAAGCTTCAACAGGAAAGCTCATTGGATCAACAACATTAGATATATATCCAAAGTAATCCATAGAATCATAATGTGGTAGTGACCTGATTTAGAGAGATGAGTATAATAGGACTTTTCTGTTTAGATAACAGGAAACAGACTATATTTCCCAGAGGAGCTGGCTAAGGGGCAGGAGCACAAAAATACAGAAGCCCAGGAACCAGAAGACAGGAAGTGGATGGATGACATTCATGCTGATGACACGATGTCTGGCGCTTTTTGCTGGTTGATAGCTTAAAAGAGTGGAAAATTTGAGGGGAGAGTGAAAAACAGTTTTACTTTTGACTGCTTGTGATTGCTGGCGCTTGTATTTTTTTTATTTTCTTCTTTGGGTCTTGCTAGAATTTTTTACTTTTTTAAATCACTTTTTCTGTCACTTTTTAAATAGCATTGTTTTCTTCTTCCTTTCCTTCCTTCAGTCTGCTAATTAAGGGGAGGGGTTAATTGGTTACAGGTGATACAGGTCCTATATAACTTTCTGTAGAGCTCACTCTGAGCTTGCCTGTATTTTGCTTGCTGGACCTTTGATCAAGTGAAGTTAAAAAACCGGAGTGGAAAACAGGAGATTATAACAGAAGTCTAGTAACCTGTAAGTGGCATCTGATATTTCCTGTTAATATTGTAACTGGGATATGAGTGCTAGCAGGGTTGAAGGTTTTGTGCAGTGCACAGTGTGCTGAATGTATGCAGCAATGGAGCGACAGCTCCAGGATGGATACCGCTGCGACAGATGTGAGCGGCTTGCCCTTCTGGAAGCTCACGTCAGAGATCTGGAGGAGCAAGTTGCAACACTGGGCAGAACTGACAACAATGAAAGGGGTCTTTTGCTCCCTGAGCAGGTCGCTAATGGGATTGATGTGGATGGCGGAGGGGCTAATCAGGATTATCAGGTAGGAAGATGGGTTACTGTAACGATAGGGGGTGGTAGGGGCTCACAGAAAGGCTCGCCCTAGGTTTGTGAACCCAAACAGATTTGCCACATTGGGTGAAGATGTGGGGGTGGCAAGCTCAGGGGTGGCAGTCCTGGATGTCACTGCTATCCCTAACAGTTGAAGGGGGTCTGCTGTGCTGGGGGAGAGGTTTATGGGGAGACTGGAGGAGTATTTACCCACTTGCCTACTGCGCACTTTCACCCTTCCTGCCCAAGCCAATTTTGAGTGACAATTGTGCGGTCATGCAACACTGTACCCATATTTGTATAATTTTTTTGAGACAGAGTTTTCTTTTGGTGGTATTTAATCACCTCAGGGTTTTTTATTTTTTGTTAAACAAACCAAAAACAACTGAACATTTTGAAAAATAAGTTTTTTTCTTAGTTTCTGTTATAAAATTTTGTAAATGAGTAATTGTTTCCTTCACTAATGTGCGCTAATGAGGCTGCAGTGATGGGCACTGATAGGTGGCACTGATGGGCACTGATGAGGAGGCACTGGTAGGTGGCACTGATTGCCATTGACAGGCATCGCTGGTGGGCATTCACAGACATCACTGATGGGCACTGAAAGGCAGTACTCATATATGGCACTGATAGGCAGCACTGACTGGCACTATTGGGTGGCACTGACTGGAACTGTTAGGTTGCACTGATTGGCAGCACTGATAGGTGTCACTGACTGGCACTGATAGGTGGCACTGAAAGGCAGCTCAGATGGGCACTGATATGTGGCATTGATGTGCACTGGTAGGCACTGATATGTGGCATTGATGTGCACTGACATTTGGCATTGATAGACACTGACAGGTGGCAATGATGAGGCTACACTGATCATCAGGGCACTAATCATCAGTGCCCTGATGATCAGTGTAGATGTCCCCTCTGAGGAATGCCGTGACAGCTCGTGAGGAGAGAAATGCTGATAACCGGCATTTCCTTATTTGCATGCGATCAGCTGTGATTGGACACAGCTGATCACATGACAGAGCCAAAGTCATCGGTTCTTTTTGCTGATCGGTGATCCGCTGTGTCCCAGTATGTATAAGAATATGCATGCACCATACATACTAGGGGGCAGGGGTGGACTGACAACTCATGGGGCCCCCGGGCAATAGGGGATCATGGGGCCCCTATGTCCTTTCCCAAACTCAAAAAAGCCTATGAATAAGGTACCAGAGGCATCTCATGGGGCCCCCTACTGACCCTGGGCCCTTGGGCAGTGCCCAAGTTTCCAAATGGTCAGTCCGCCCCTGCTAGGGGGAGATGAAACTGGGGGAATCTATGAAGGAGAAGGATCTGGGGGTTCTGGTAGACCACAAGCTTAATAATGACATGCAATGCCAAGCTGCGGTTTCTAAAGCGAGCAAAATCCTCTCTTGTATTACAGGAGGTATAGACTCCAGAGAGAGAGATATCATTTTACCCCGGTACAAATCATTAGTAATACCTCATCTGGAATATGCAGTTAATTTTTGGGCACCAATTCACAAAAGAACATTGGGGAACTGGAGAAAGTGCAGAGAAGGGCAACCAAACTGATAAGAAGCATAGAGGAGCTCAGCTATGAGGAAAGATTAGAGGAACTGAATTTATTCTCTCTTGAGAAGAGGAGATTAAGGGGGGATATGAACAACATGTATAAATACATCAGTGGTTCATATAGTGAACTCAGTGTAGCGTTATTCACCCTGAGGTCATCACAGAGGACAAGGGGGCACTCTTTACATCTGGAGGAAAAGAAATGTAATCTCCAAATATGGAAAGGTTCCCTCACAGTAAGAGCTGTGAAAATTTGGAATAGACTCCTTCACAAGTTGGTTCTGGCCAGCTCAGTGGATTGCTTTAAAAAAGTCCTGGATTCTTTCTTAGATACACAGAATATTACTGGATACTAACATTTATAGGTAAAGTTGATCCAGGGAATATCCGATTGCCTCTCGGGGGATCAGGAAGGAATTTTTTCCCAGCAGGAGCAAATTGGATCATGCTTTGCTGGGTTTTTGCCTTCCTCTGGATCAACTGTGGGTAAAGGATTACAACTTTTTTTTTTTCTATGGTTGAACTGGATGGACTTTTGTCTTTTTTCAGCCAGACTATGTAACTATGATGGTGAGAGCCGGAGAGCGGGTGTCTGGAGAAGGCTGTGCGAGACGCTGGAGATTTGGGCTGCATCGGACGACAAAGAGTGAAGAATTGAGGAGGAATCACTGGCATCACTGACAAGCAGGAAAGATCATCCTATAGCCAGGTGGATTAAAGTGCTGTCATCTGCATCGCTCTTCCAACAAAGGGACCAAGAGAACACCCCCCCCCACTGAAAGACTATCTGTCATATTACTAAGACTAAAGACCGGGTGAGAGAATCCCATACTCAAATCATTACCAGTTGCAAGTGACATTGTTAAGTTCAGTTGCCTTGTTTTCAGTTCAGTGCAGCACACTTTGTATCACATTTACTCACACTAAGGCCTAGATTGTCTGGCCTATCCAGTCCTGCGGCCTACTGATTATTGCATTATCAACATGCTAAATCACAGGACTTGGCTACAATATATGCACCCTGCAGAAAAAACTACATTAGTATCCCAGTTCCAGTCTGTTCTAATCACCAAGGAACTTTCTCATCACATTAGTTTACCACCCTTTAACCGTTTCAATACCGTGCAATTTTACACCTGCCTGCCCAGGCCATTTTTCAGGTTTCAGCGCTCTCACACTTTGAATGACAATTGCGCGGTCATACAACACTGTACCCAAACTAAAATTTTATCATTTTCTTCATACAACTAGAGCTTTCTTTTGGTGGTATTTAATCACCACTGGGGTTTTTATTTTTTGCTAAATTAACAAAAAAAGACCAAACATTTTGAAAAAAAAAACACATTTTTCTTTGTTTCTGTTATAAAAGTTTACAAATAAATAATTGTTCTTCATAAATTTAGGCCGAGATGTATTCTGCTACATGTCTTTGGTGAAAATAACCCAAATTAGGATGTATTTTTTAGTTTGTAGGAAGGTTATAGAGTTCACAAACTATGGTATAGATCTGAATATTGATCAATCCTGAAGTACTGACAGCCAATCTAATTTCTTGAAGTCCAAGAATGTCAGAACAGTACAGATATCCCACAAATGACCCCTTTTTGCAGAGTAGACAGTCCGACGTACTTCATAAGAGGCATGGCGAGTTTTTTGAAGTTGTATTTTTTTTGTCATAATTTTTCGGAAAATGAAAAAATTAAAAAAATTATTTTCACTATTTTTTTTTTTACATACTGTCCCCAGTAAATGTGTATAAATATATAAATATATATAAAGAAATCATCAAATCATAAGTCCAGAAAAAAATATATATATGCCAATACCACAAAAAAAAATATATAAAAAAACTTTTAAGTGCAAAAAACTTTTGTGCAAAAAAAGTGTCTAAATATGAAAAATTTCACCAAAAAACCTTGATAATATAATGGCAGATCATCCATAAATATATCTTCAGAAACGGAAACTCTGCAACACACCGATCCTCATTGATCGAAATAACAGGATGAAAAACTTTGTAGTTAATCGAAAATCCACTTCTCCAATAGATAAAAGACCACCTTCAAACGTATCCATGGGGGGAAATGCCAAGCACTCGAGAGAAACAGAAAGACTTCATGGTGCAATATTATAAAAACCAATTCCTTTATTAGGTACTCATTGCACTTACTCAAGAGGTGTCCCAGCAGACACCAGCATCAACAGCATAACAGCAATCACATAAACGAGCCTGGCTACTCAGCACATGCGCAGTAGCTGGCAGCCAAAAACGTAATGACGTCACATCAATCAAGCTCCTCCCTACGCATTTCGTCATCGACGTCCTCACGGAGCGTCCCTCCATACCTCTGAAGATGTGCGTGCGCACGTAACGCGTAAGGAGGAGCCTGGACGTCGAGACGCTACGCCGCCGGTGCCACGTGGAGGCCCGGCGGCCACTATTCAAAGTGCCAGGGTTAGTTGTCTTGCTGACACATCTGTATGATACCTGCCTGCTTTGAATTGGATATCATTATTGTGAATAAAGCTGCCTTTTATTACCTACTTCACTATGGGTGTCCTTCCCTAAAACTCCCTTGAGGAGCTTTTGCTTGCAGAACCTGGGTCTTGGAATTCTACATCTAATCGTGTTAAGGAAGATCTGTTGCTGCATCTACGGAGGAGGGATCCACCATTCCTGTAACTGGATCAGCTTTACTTCCCTCTGGATTGAAGATCCATAAGCTTTATATGCACACTGCGTTTATGTGTCTTACTTCTGGTGAGTGCGTTTTCCAGCCATTTCCACACGGATCACCAATTCTGAATCCACATCTGACACTGGATACGTTTATATGACCTAGACTTTTAGTGGACTGTTTTTCTGTCATATTGTCATTATTTTCAGCGCTGCACTATTTTATGTTATTGCTTTTAAGTTTTATTGGTTGCTTAGAGTGCCTAGCCGCTTTCAGGATTAGCGCTCACTGCTGTTTCTTCTTATTCATCCATTGTATACAACTGTCATGTGACCTGCTGTGATTGGTCACAGCAGGTCACATGGTACCAGCAACGGGAGCCGGTACTCGGATCTGTCATCGGCCGTGTCCGAGGTGCACGGCCGGTGACAGATCGCACTGCTGCGCCGCTCTGCATTAGCGCAAACTGCGCATGTGCGGGAGCACGCCAAATGGCGTGCACCCGGAGTGAAGAGACACATCTGAAGCCGCCAAACGGCCATTGGCCGGGCGGCTAATGGTTATTGAGGGATTAAACCCTGCTGAAGTCTGCTTCCGCCCCTTTCTACAATCTCAGTTTAATCCTAGACTTTATACTTTGTGTTAAAGACATATTATCACAATCCAATGAAACTTAAAGGAGAAGTTACTTTTTCTCTGTCTACACTATCTTGAGGAAATCGTGCTTTTACATCAGGAAAGATCTGAACCTTTATGTGCACCAACTAGGGCCCCATCAAGCGCACAGAAGGTTGGAAACCTCTGTTAAGTAAACAAAATAAACAAAAGGTATATTGACACATCTAACCAAAGAATCCACCAAGTCACCAATGGCTGAGAACTCAAGTGTGAGTTAGTCTGACAGTTGATAGTTCCTTCCAGCTCACTTGGGTATAAATATCTCAGAGCTGGGACTGCTGTTTAAATTCTGCTTTACAGGACATTTAAAAGTGTTACTGTGTTGCAACACTTGGTTGAATCTTTTAGAGTGCTTAACTTTTATGTTATGCACAGATACCAATGTCATTTGTTGTGCTTGCACTCTTTACATTCTGATTTAAATATGACCGGAATATTAATTCTGGCTAAACTGTGTGCGTGTGTCTATTTTTATGGTTTCAAGTCAGGGGGTCCTCCTAATCAAAGGTTTAATGTGGTGTCAGCAGACGTTGAGCTTCCAAGCCAGGATCTGGGCAGACAGGGAACCCAAAAAATACTCAGCAGCTCTTAAGGGGGTAGCGCTTCATAGACACTCTGTGTTTATATCATATTGTTGTGGGTGTGCCGGCATTCTACTTGTATAGCTGGTGGAGGATAAATCCTTCTACAGGGAACAGCTGCAAATTATAGGCGAGTATAACATTAAAAGCTGCTTTTTATGTTTAATACTGCTGGTCATCATATTTTTGTATTTTTCCCAAAAATTGGAACTCTTTTGTAAACTTGTCAAAGAAAACATATCTAACTTGGTTGTTAAATTAGGAATACTTATTATAATATTGGCCTATTTTTTGTTAAACATTCAGGCAATAAATTGCAAACTTTGTACTGTAATTTCATAACAAAATTAGTCATAAAGAGTGTTGCCATTTACAAAACCTTAATGAACAAAAGTGGACCAAAATGAATCCTAATATATAGCTGTTTTAGTCCACCGGCATTGTAATACTTACCTTTTAGCCAGTTCTGTTTCTGATCAGATTAGAAACACAGGTAGTTATGGAAGAAAGACTCTCCAATGGGGGTGGATTTTGTGTGCCATAA